AATATAAGTAGTCTAAAAGCGAAAGAACTACGTATAAGCAAATAGCATTTTTATTGGACGAAATTGGCTCTGAGTCAGCCCTGAGTCACAATTTCAAATTTAGAAGGCTTGTGTAACGAAGATTGTCCACCCTGCTGTTTATTTACAAATGCGATTTCCTTTTTGGTTTGTATTACCGCAGAAATGTAGTTCCTTTATTATGGAAAGACATAGATTTGTCTAAAATTGATTATTCTAACATATTGAAATATGGTGAATTAGGTGGAATATTAGTTTCGTTTATCCATTTTCCATGTCCCACTAATTCTAAATTAACTTTATTTTTGTATCTGTGTAATACACTAAAGTCGGCGTTCTTTTTAACGAAAAGTTGTATTTCCCACATCGCGTAAGGACTAAGTATGAAATCACCTTTTGTAATTTTTTGATATGCTTTGCTGCTGTTGACAAGTTCTCCATCTGTTCTTTTTTCAAAATGATAAGAAATGACTTGTTCTCGACTTCTTATAATGACATTTTGGTTATTCCATCTATAGTTGGAATTTCCTAGATGTGTCATGACTATTTCGAAGGATTTCAAATATCAGGATCTATTGTTCTAAAATAAATACCTATTTTGTTAAATTTAATGGCACTTTTTTCGGGATCACTTTTTGCTATATCAGCATTGAGTGTTACGATTTCACCCTTAAACATACTTGAAATTTCGTCTTGGTACAATTTGTTTTCCCAAATTGTGAATGGGTTCATAGATGCTGAATTGTAAAATTCTCCTTCGTTTACGTAAATATCGTATTCTGTTACGGTGACATAATATTCTCTGATCTTTGTACTAATTGTTTCGATTTGTTTTATAGCGTCCATTTTAATGTTTTTTAATGTATTATTATTTTTCGTTAAAGCCATACTATCCGGTAGTTTATATTCTTGGTGATATAAAAATCCAAATGGGAAGACCCATTGTTTAAAGGCATTAATGGCGTTATTGTATTGGCCTAGTACGATATTAAGTTGAATTGCTTTTTCTACTCGAATGGTAGCCTCTTTTAGAGCATAGTCTTGAATATATATCGAATCAATAGTTGGAGATCTAATATTTGCGATGTATTGTGCCTTCATCCATTTTTTCCATATAATATTTTAAATCATCATGAACCTTAAATTCCTTTGTAGCTTGTTTTAATTGGTTATTGATATCTCTTATCTTACTTTGTATAAGCCATTTGCTGAAATCTAAAGACGCGTGGGATTTGCCTTCGTTTTTCTCAACTTTTATAATATCATCTTTTATTTCTTGTAATATAGGTTTAATAATTTTATATATACCATCTTCATAATCTTTTAAACGATTAAAATCGTTATCTAATTCTTTAACATTGTCATTTATAACATTTAATTTCTGTTTATCAATTTGGAGTTTACTGTATAAGTCAACACCTAATTCGGCGATTCTGATTAAATTATTAACGTATTCTACTTTTTTTAATATATCTTTGTTTTTTTGATTAGCGTGTGATTCTTCTTCCTTCAATGAATTTTTTTTATTTTTCAGTACATCCTTTAATTCCTTTTTTAGTTTGTCTATTTTATCTTTGGAAGAAGTATTAGGTTCAATTAAATTATCATTGGAAGTACTAGGTTCATTTGAATTATTATCGGGAGTAGGATTAGGTTCGGCATCTTCGATAAGTTTAATTTCATCTTTTATTCTTTTTATTTCTCCGTTTATATCTTCAAATTCTTTATAATTTTCTATTTCTTTTTCCACTACTTCTAATTGTTGTTTAAATATTTTTGCTTCATTGGCGTATTTATCGTTAAATCTCTTTGCTAATTCTTGATAAGAGGTTTTTATTCCTGAAGGCAAAGAAATTGGTTTCATATCGCTGGTGTTATCGTCCAAAATGAAAGTTTCAGATATCATAATAGCTCCACCTGCTGCAGCACTTATTCCAGCACCTACAGGACCTGCAAAGCTCAGAAATTGACTTCCAATTTTTAAAACTCCAAGTACGAGTCTTAATTTTAATGCATTCTTTAATTTTTTTTCTTGGTCTAATAATTTTTCTTTATTTTTAGTTACTTTTTCCTTTAATTTTAATGTTTCGTCAACCAAATCTTTTATTCTAATATCTATTTGATTGGTGATTTTATCAATTTCTGGTATGATAGAATTGTTAATGAGTTGTTTGGCTTCTTCAATATTACCATCGATGTTTTTTTTAAATTCGTTCTGATATTTAATAATGGCAATTTGTTCTTCTTTTTCTTTTAATAATTCGATGCTTTCTGTTACTATTTTGAAATACTTGTTTATATCTACTATCAAAAAAGGTGCCTGAGTGGATTTTAAACTCCAAGTTTTACTCAATAGATTAGTGTAAAGATATTCAAGTGCTTTTTTGTAAGATTTGTTGTGCGTAGAAGTAAATTCGCTTTGAGCATAAGCAGAGTAATATTGTTTGTTGGTTTCTGTAGTGTACTTTGTAATGCGCTCAAGAAATGATTCGTAAAAAGGTAAAATATTAATCTTACGATCAACTAAATCGTAGAAATTATTTTCCAAGATTTCCATATCGCCAAATAATCCGATTGTATTGTAAGTGGAATGAATTTTAGGATGAAATTCTATCTCTTGAATAAATCTCGTGAGAAGTTCAACTTTAAAAGGATTATCGAGATTTGATCTTAAAAACTTTTTGTAGTTATTAACGTCGATAGCAAAATTACAACGTTCGAATCGTTTTTCTGGGAGACAAATGGTTTGATCATTTTTATTATCTATACCATCCTTTCCAGAAATAGCTCTTGTGTTAGTTGGAAGGTCTTGTATTTTAGTCCAATAAAAATCTGTTTTAAACATGCCAGTTTCTTCATGGTATTTCACCTCTTCGCCGTTTCCTTTTTTGCCACCTGATCCACCTTTACCTCCTATACCACGATCGCCTACATTCTCTGGTTTTCTGGATGTAAGATCGGTCAATTCTTGTCTATTTTGTGTATTGATTAGTTCGATATAACCATTATAACCTCCTCTACCACTTCTTCCACCATCACCACCATCGCCTCCATCTGATCCGTTTGTACCATAAACTTTAAATCCATAATCTATAATACCTATACTATATGGTCCTGGGCTGGGTTCAATGTTTCTTTCTGTCCACCTTGTATTTGGAAAAGGATCTAACGTTTCTTTTTGATATCTTTGATTTCTAACGTTATCAACCTTAAAATCGTCTCCATCTTTTCCATTTCCACCATCACCACCATTCTGCCCAGGACCTCCTTTTCCTCCATCGGCTGTAATTATCAAACCGTTTCTGTTATTAATTTCTTTGTATACTCCTAAAAAATTTCCAGCATTTCCACCAGGTAATCCAGGTTTTCCAATTTCTCCTTGTAATGATAAACGATTGTCGGTATTATCTTTACCATTGTTAGCCTTGAGTGGAGAATGTGATGAGCCTGATACACCATCCAATCCTATTTCACACTTATTATGTATTTTCCAACGAGGTGAAATACAAGTAATAGAAAGTTTTGTTCTGACAAATTTACATCAACGAATAATGTATTTAACCCAAAAATTTTAATTGACGCAATGTTAGTTGTTTCGTTAAATATTTCTTTTACTTTGCTTAACATAACATAATCTCCTTTGATTTTTAAAGTGTTATCTTGAACAGGTTCTATTTCTAGGAGAGGTGTCAGAGTGATTTTTAGAAGATGATTTTTCAGTTATTTTTAAATCATCTGCTTGAATTTGGGAGATGTAATTATATTCTGACGATAAGAAAGGTGATTGAACTATTTTTAAAAATTGTGTAAAATTATTCTTATCTATAGAGATTCTCAAAGTATTATTCTTAGTTTGATTATTCTGTCCCCAATTCTTAATATCGGTAACGTTATATTTATTCCGGTCTTTTTGAATTTCGTATTCCGAAAGTTTAGTGTAAAGTGCTATTAAAAAACGATACCATTGGTTTGAATTGTCCAACTACCGAATAAGATTGTCGAATCCTCTTATCCATTTTCCAGGAGTGGTAGTTATTTCCGATTTTACTGTTTTTAAAAAGTCAAAGTAAGATCCATCGTTCATGATGGCTGTAATTCTTTTTTCGCTCGTTATATGTAATTCGATTTGAAGTTTATCCATTTCATCAATTATCATCTGAACAAATTCTTTATGAGTAGTTAATTTGCCGATGTGTTCATAAATATTACGGAGTTTTTTAATATATAGATTTTCTAGATCATCTTTTATCTTAAAGATATTATTTGAATGTTGGATTTTAGTTTGAAAATATTTTTGAAGATCTTCTCCGATAAGTTGAATTTATTTAGTTATGTCTTCGTTGATGAGGTTGTTTAAGTTACTAATTTCGTTCTTTGATTTATCAGATATAGTGAATCCAAAATCATCATTTATTGTGACGAATCAATGTCGTCTCTAATTGTGTCTTCCAGAGACATCCTTTCTTGTTTAAAAGAGTCGATATTATGAAAATATCCTACACTTTTAGGTTTTTAAAGAAACCAATTCGATCATTTTTTAATATATTTACTAATTTTATTGCATCTTCGTATAGTTTTCTCTTTTGGGGTGAAAGATCTGAATTTTCAAGCTCGATTGCCGATTTATTTTTTTTCTTTAACTAGAGCATCCAAAATTTCGTTTTTATACTCTTTAACTGTTTGAGTACCCGTATCTACTTTAGTAAAAATCAAAAGAATGCTGTTTTCAAATTTTGATATATCTCTGATGAAAGAACTAATATGTTCGATGAGTTTAGGAAATTCAGTTCTACTATCAAAGAACAATGAGTCATCTATTGTTAAAATGATCTTTAATCTTTTAGAATGCTCTATGACTTTCTTAACAAAATATATGCCAGATATATCATTCTCAACACCTCTTGTGTCATCGAAACCGGGACAGTCATAATAAACATTTCCGTTACCAAGAGCCATTTCGGGATAGATAGTTTTTGAAGTGGTACCATCTAGAATTCTTTCATCGCCAACAATAACAAAAGAGCCTCTTTTTGATTGGGATGTTTCCACTGAGAAATTGGACAAATGTACTTTTACCGGAACCGGTATTACCCAGAACCAAAATTATGTCTTTATGACCACTTAATGTTACCTTCTTCTCCCCATCTTCCAGGAATTTAAGAATTTCTTTTACTGTTTGATGATTATTTGCCATTGTCAATTTTTGAACAAGTACGTCGTTGTCATTGTGTATTTATTAGTTATTGAATTTGTAACATGTGAATTATACGCTCATTTTTCATCATTCTTTAATATTATTAATAAATATACGCATATGATCTCATTTTTCATCATTCTTTAATATTATTAATAAATACAAATTCGGATTAAATTTATGCAAGATTATGAATCATCAAGAAGCAATTGGGATAAAATCAGAATTCAAATTTTTTCTATATTACCGGTGTTGCTATATCTCAAAAACGTACTAAGTAAACGGGATCGGGTACTCTAAGTAAAAATGTTCAGGACCCCCAAAAACCTCACGAGAACTGAGATCGG